ACATTCAATGTTCTAATTACTTTCCTACTTTTTGTGACCACCAATAGAAGTTAAGGACATCTAAATGGTTACATTCATTTGCATAATTAATCATATCTATTTATTTTATATTCAGTGTTCCTTTGCTTCTCATTTATTTTCATTAGTAGCTCATTTTTCATATACTCCAGTCAGTTTCTTGGTTCTGTTGCTGATAAAGTAGATGAAATACCTTCAGCTTTTTCCAAGTACCTTTCCAATATTATTTTTTTGTTCATTGTATGAATACTTTGTTTATCCTCATTACATTCTGTAGCAGAAACTTCTCGTAAGTGTTTCGTACTTCTATTAAAAGAAAAAAATCTTTGTTTCTCCAACATTCATGTTTCTCTATATCTTCTGCCTACCACCAATAATTAACTCCATTGCATTTATTTTGATGTCCTTGGAATGATCATATCACCTTGATCTGACATTTCCTTTTATCATAATATTAATGCATTACGAGTTACATCTGAAATACTAGAATGACTATCCACTCTCCTCTATTGCAGCTAATCATAAAATAACCTTGATGGTTACAACTGATCTTCTATTTGCCTACTTGGTCAAAGGGCTACTCAGGGCAGGATATGAGACCGCAGGGTCCCAAGATTAAAATTCAAATATCAATATTTATATATATATATATATATATGATATATATATAATATTATATATATATTATATATATATAAAACATATATATACTATATATATAATAAATATATATATATATATACATATATATATATATAGTACATATATTAATATATAATATATATATATATAATAATAATATATAATATATATTATATAATATATATATATATATAATATATATAATATTATATATATATTATATATATTATATACATATAGTATATAAAATTAAAAAAGTTCATCAAATATATAAATGAAGTTCCAGGAATAAATGTTAAAACAACTAAAGATGGATATTTTCCCTCACTAATTTATATTTTTTTTAAATCTCTGTTATCAAGACAGAGTTCTATTCTGTGTGTGTGTGTATATATATATATATATATACATACACAGAATAGAACTCTATCTTGATAATAGAGATTTTAAAAGTGAGGGAAAATATCCCTCTTTAGTTGTTTTAACATTTATTCCTGGAACTTCATTTATATATTTGATGAACTTTTTTAATTCTCTCTTCATTGATGTTAAGTTGATCACATTTATTTCAGAAACACTTGATTTTTGGAGAGATCAATGAAACTTTGAAGGGTTTGGAATTATTTTCTTATTTTTAAGCATTAAGTTAGAACTATCTAATCCATTCTTTATTACTCTGATCTTATCCATATTTGTAAACTTTTAATTTTCATGTTATTTTAATTTATGTTCACAATGTTTTTTGATCCAGTGATTACCTCACTTTTTTTCCCTCTACAGATAAACTTGAGTATGATTCATAGGATATAGTGCATAACATTCCTTTGTCCACTAACGAATTCAGACTCTTCACAATAAATATATTTTATCAACAGAATTTAACATATACGCCTGCATTTTATCACCTATCGATTTCCTAATAATATTTAATGTTCCTCAGTGATTTCATTTAATTTACCTAAGACCTGTGGTGGATTTTAGAATTACTCTGACAATCTGAGTAAAGTTATTTCAACTCTTGTTTTCTTCATTTCCAGGCATTTCTTCTGAGGCAGACACACCAGCATTGGAGACATAATAACAATTGTTGTAACTATCGCAAATGAAAGACCTCCAATATATCAATGCAGGCAGACTGAAAAGCCGAACACATGGTGATGATGTATTTAATTGGCTGCTCGGATGACGTCACATCCGTGGCAAAGGTGCATATGTTTCGGTCGCCATTCTGCGACCTTCCTCAGGGCATAATGCTCTGAGGCTCTACACATTATGCCCTGAGGAAGGTCGCAAAATGACGACCAAAATGTCAGCATCTTTGACATGGATGCGGCATTACCCGGACAGCCAATTAAACTGACTCCGGACACAGAAGCCTACGCTCTTACTTGGTGATGATATTCTCTCTATAAATTTCAAATATGATTTGTGCTTTATAATCTTTATCATTTGAGGCTCTATCATAATCTCTTTCTTTAGGAGAGATCTGAGCTCCCAGAGATGGTCATATGCTATCTAGCCATAATCTGAAACTCACTTCAGAGAGCACTCGCTCCCCCTACTGGCATCTAGGTAAGCCAGAACTCAAATGTGCTTGGTCTTACCAAATAGAAAGCATAACCCCACATCCCATCTAGCCACTGCACATCCTTGGCATGATTGATTTATTGATCAATAGGGCTTTAGGGCACTTCAACTGCTATGGTGATAGGCATCCATAACAAATTATATAAAACACAATATCATTAAAAAAATATACAATTTAAGAACTCTTTACAGATTTGCAGAGATAGGTTTAAAAATGAAAATGAACAATAACACATACTAGTCAAAATAATACATTTGTAAAGAAGACAAGCTGACAATACAGAGCTAGTCATAAGGGTATTCACCATCTCTCTCAGATGTAGTTGTATATCTTGGCCTCCTAACGGAAGTCAAAAAATCTAGAGACATGGGACTTACCACCACCAAGTCTTACTTTGTAGAGAAGGAGCTATTGGGCATTCAAACATTTGATTGCAATACAGAGCCTTATGGAGTATTACCCTCTCTTTCTATCCAACACAATTTTACATAAAAATCTCTCTTTCTACCGCAAGCTGTGTTGCCACTTCACAAGGCTCAGAATAATTCGGTTCATCCATCCTGTTTCACTCACAAATATTGAACATGTTTACTGAATGATAGCTTCAATTGTGTTTATCTTAGAGAACTGAGTAAGTTATTCCCAAAACTCTTATGAATGTGATTGTTATTTTGAAATTGAGTTTTTATGGTTTAATTTTGAAGAAATTAATTATCAACTGTAGTCAAGTGTTACTTCTACATTTTGATTAATTTTCACCATGTGAGAAACTTTTTTATTATCGAAGAAAAGAACAAACATTCAACAGACGAAATGACATGGGAAGTCCAAATTTTGATATGAGACCAATAGCATTTCTATACGAATCATGGTTCCTGACTTGGACAGTAATAAAAACTATATTTAGAGCACTTGGAATGGACATCTTGTGTCAATCGGTGATCTTGAATACTTCTCAAAGATTCTTAATTGACAACGAGGTAGGAAAAATAAAGTATTTATTTTTGAATTTCACTTATTAAAAACAGTAAAATACATACAAATATCTAACAATGAATAAGAAATTTTACTGTTAACAATATTAATGCCAAAGTCATTCAACCAGTGTCATAAAGTATCTTAAAATGTGCTTTCAAATGGAAAGACGAGGCGAATTTTTAGGTGGATGTTCAAAAAGAATATTATACATTGTCCGCACAAGCTTTGCAGAATCAGATTCCATCCAAAACATGTCACCTTTGTGAATAGAAATTATCCCTTTATTTAACATTTTAAAAATATGTGAATAAATTGGATGTGTAAAATAACTCGAAACAGAAAATTAGTAACATTGATCTTGATATCGATGTCGTCATTCGTGCAAAACAACAATTCAATGTTTTGAAGTGATTTTCATTCAAGTGATATGCTAATTTGCTACAGGCTTGCAGGTGGTACGTAAGATCTGAAGAAATGTTAAGCCCCTCCTACCAAAATCCCATCCCCTTGCTTATTAATTCATCCCATCTTGCTTATTAATTCAAAAGTAGGAAAAATAACTTTGTCCTCTGTGACCTTCACACTTACAGATTACTGGTGAAACTCTGAGATATCAATGTCAGTTATCTGTGGGAAGACAGCTCCCCTTTTGCAGGACACTCAGTGTTGAAAGCAAGTGCGCCAAACATTCTCAACATTTCACCAGCTGGTAGCACACCATGCAAAACCCACATACTACTCAAATTTTGAAGTGTTACAGAGTATTAGAAATAGAGTTTTAGAGACATTTTGCATCCAGACTTTCCATGACCCTGGCACTTCCCACAGCGAGCAAAGTTGCATTGGTAGCACCAGAAACATCAACTGGTGTCAGATTTCTAGCGCGTTCATTCTTTCACAACTGATAGCAAATGTCATATGTCCTGATTTATTTTTAGTTTCAAGGGCATAGTAGCACACGTTCTTTATCATTCTACCGGTCTGTTGTAAGGATATTGTAAACCAATGTTAATTTTTAACAAAACAGAAAAATAAACTTGCACCCTTGATGATATTGTGGCACTTACGTTTTGACACTTTTTTATTAGAACCTATTATTGTAAAAAACATTTTTCTAAGCAAAAGTGAAATATTCATTTGCCCCCACATTGAGATAAGATTTTCAGGGACTCATATCTTTGCAATAATTGTATTTGTATTTGATTGACCTTCTTATCTTTCAGAACCTGCCTCGTAAACACCCCTTTTGATGCCCCTGACGCAACTGAAACCCTGATGACAGATAGGTAAATAGCGGCAGTACAGGGCAATTTTCGTGCTTTGACAGGCAGCTGGTCATGACAGGTCAAGAGTTGTTGCAAAACCACTACTTGCAATGCTTTACTGCATATAAATATCAATATTTACCCATTTTGAAAGGTGCTGAACAAAGTGGTAAAATTTCATGTCAATACGTGGGATGGGAAGTGTTGCGTGTAAGCGCTGGCTAAGTGGCAACGCCGTTCTCCATAAATGCTGTACTGCAATCAAATGCTTGGATGCTCTGTAGATGGTGCTTTCACAGACTCATCAAACTTCCTGCAGTGCTGGAGAGCGTGTACCATCAAGAGATTTGAGTTGCAGATATAAATTGGAGGCTGTTCCACACAGAACAAGTATCCAAGCGAAAAGCGATAATGGTCAATAGGAATATATAGGAGTGATATTTCCTTATGCCTCGCATCCTGGGTTGACAGCACAGAGTCTTACAGAATATTTTTCCCTCCTGTTCTAGCACTCAATTATGCCAAGCACCAAAGATGCACATAAGACTCACACTGGACATAAGAAGTTAGAGGATGAGGAACACAGAAAAGAGGATATGGTTTGGAGTAAACTGAAGCAATAAGAGCATAAAACTTTTCACTGTAATGATGTTACTTAATGTATATAAGGGCTGTGAGAATTACTCCCATTTGGGTAGTAAAGACTGCATAGGGAATGGATTTGAAAAGATTCAGTGACCCTCATACAATGAAAAGCACAAGCCCCTGCACCATTGCACGAGGAACCATCAATATAGGTGAAAATATGATCAAGTGTCTGTTTTCATATTCTGAAAAAGTATTTGATATATGAGGGAGATCCCAAGGAGGAGAGAGGATGCTAGGTGGCTCAGTGAGGGCAGGCAGATATTAAGATCTCGAAACAGATTCTGAAAATGAATACCTAAGGGTTGAGATAGTTATGTTTGAAGGACAGCCTGTCTGATATCTGGGTTAAAAACCAGCCTGTTAAGATGGAAGGTTCAAGAGAACCTGACAATTTAGCACTGTTTACCCATAGCAGTATCTCTCTTTTTTTAAGGGATGCTCACCATCATCAGAAGGTAGTCAATTCTACTTGTGCAGCATGCATCTGTGGGTATGCAAACAGAATTATCAATACTCTTGAAGGGTGGAAGGAGCTTCTGATCCATGAACTAAGATAGCATAGTTGAGAACAGAGAAGAGGAATACTCTTTGAAGTTTGTAGAAGACATGAATAGTCAGCACTCCAAGACTCAGGGTACATAGGAAGTTGTAAGGAAGAACCATGTTTATCATGATGGCAAAGAGAGCAACACCAAACACAGACTCTTGACAGATACATTTTACTAGAGGATAACACATACCAACGTGTATCAGAAAGGATCAACTTGAAAAAAACTGTTTGGAGAAATCCATCCTCCAGAGTAGAATATCATACCTTCAGGTAGTAGTGCAGACTGTATCAGTGTCTAAGAGAATTGCTAAAAGGTGTTAGGATGAGCAAGGAAGAGATTTGTGTTGCCACTGACACAAGATGGTCTTGAGTTGATCAGTGGCATCTAATATCACATTGGATTGGCATAAGCAAACTCACATGTTCCCAAGCTGATTGCTGATTTACTACTGTGTGTTCCGATACTTTGCATTTGCTGCTGGTAAGAGTGACCAGCTGATAGCAAGATGATGTCATTCAATCTTTTCCTAATTTTGGGACTGGGATGATTAAGATATGTTTCCAATGAGCATGAATGGAGTACTCTTCTCAGAATTATATAACTGGAGGAGAATGACATGGCCTATTCAATAAGATGCAACATTTGGTTATGAATTTCATCAAGATATGAAGCAGATAATTTTGCAAGTGCAAGAATAGAGTGGCTTTTTTTAATTTGTTACGTCTTCACTTCACACAACCCATCTCCAAGCCCCGGGGGGACGTTGAGCGCTTTGTGCTTTTGGGGTAAAACTCCATTAATATCAGCACGGGAGTAATCCTTCATTAATATTTCAATGTTATATCTATCATGTCTTGTTGCAGTCAGTTGTCACTACTTGTCGGACCGCCAAGTAGTGGCATACGTGCCTCCTACTGCGCAATCCTGCGTCATTACTCAGTGGCCAGATTTGGGAGGGAATTACGATTGGGGTAGGGATTAGGACACTTTACAGGGGTTGGCCTAGCCCTAGTGAAACATGCAAACTTGTTTTGTAACAAATTTCACATGAGATTCTACGGAAATGGAACCCAGAACCTCAGTGGTGAAAGGCAAGTGACTTTGCCATTAAGTCATGAGAGCAACTTAAGTGCAGTTCCAGTAAGGAGAATGCATTATATTAAGCTTCAATGCAGATCTAAAAATTCAATAAGTTGTTCTCTATTCTATCTTTAACTCAAAGAAATTTTGGTTCTCAATGCTTTTGATATGGGTGACATCTAGAAACTGGGCTCTTTGGACATGAGGTTCAAATTCTCTCCCAGGACTTAAATAACTGGTGCCAAAGTCACATATCTGCCCGCAGGCAAGGGGGAATCTCACTTCCCCCTCACAGCATTCCTGGGCTTTATTCTTTAGGAGTACTAATTTCTTCTTTCTGATTTTCACTGATAATACTCTCATATACATAATTTTATATTTTAAACAGCTAAAACTATACAAGCAATCGCTGTTTAATGATTAATTAAACGTAACATGTAACTAAATAGAATATAAATGAGACCAGTTTATCTAATTTTTTATAATTTAACTAGCGTATTTATACTGATGAACACACAAACATATTTTTAATACTTCAAATACTTTTAAAAACATCTGCATACAAGCAGATCATAGATAGAAAACAAAATGTTTATGTATCACGTAGTACTAAATTACAGTAGTAAAATTAAAAGAATAATTCTTTCAATTTTACATGCTAAACAAAATTATAGTACGCTTGTATTTTTGAAAAATTAATGAATGAAAAGAGTTAAAAAAATTAAAATTCTTGAACTAAAAAAATTATAGGAACTTTTTATATTGTTTTCATATCTACTTAACAATTACATAATGCCTTGAGCTGCCCTTTACAATTAAATACTATCTTAAACTCTACTCAACTATTAAATAATGCCATAAGCTCTACTTATCAATTAAATAATGCCTTAACCTCCACTTAACAATTACCGATTACAATTCAGCATATTTTGTTTTCCAAGGTCGAAAACAGAAAAAAGGAACCAAAACAATGAAATGCTTATAACTAAAATGATTGATTAATCATTATTATCTAGTATGTGTTAGTTCTCATAGTTTTATTGAAAAATATATATCCATAACACATACACAATGAAATTTCTCTACAATTCAAAAGTTTAACTGAATTCCAGATAAGTACCCAACAGTGAGTAAAGTGTGTAAATGAATGTTTTTGTATAATTCCTTTGTGTGTGTCTGTATGTATAATACATATATTACAGAGTGCATTCATCTGTAAAAGTAAAAAAGTTACCAGAAGTCATTGGTCTTGTAACACGCAGTATTTCTCTCTTTACCACACTCTTGGAACATTAGGCAATCCTGAGAGAAATCCTGTTATAAGACCAATTACTTCTGGTAACTTTTTTACTTTTACAGATGAATGCACACTCTGGAATAGGAAAGGAGAAAGGGAAAGTGGATTGAATCACTGTTAACTAAAAATTCATAAATTTCTCATAACATGGCACACACTTTTCATTATAATGAGTTGAATAACTTTTCCAAATCAATTTATTTGTTCTCAGCACACACAACCCCAATCTTCATTAACAGTTTACAAGTTTCAGTTCATCAAACACCACAACAAGCATCCCATGTCTTTAAATAAATCAACTCACCATTTCGGCATCGAGGCAGTCGAGAGAGCCTTCATGGGATGCTGCACGGGGACCTTCACTATTGCACCGCAAATTGAGACTACGAACCGGTGTAGTTGGGCACCCTGAGAAAGAAAAATTATCATGAGAATAGTGTTTTTGTGAGTAACAAGACTTAAAAACACACTGAAGAACTTTTTTCAAAATATAAAATTGTTCTGAAGAGTTATGCCATTATAAAAACAATAAATGTTCTGATACCTTTAATATAATTATAATAGACTTTTAACATATTGGTTCATGAATGACATAAAATTCATCTATATGTCTTCAAAACTTTTATTGAAAATGAAAAGAAGTACACCTAATAATATGTTACAATGAGAGAAGACCCAAAAAAATAACTATAAAGAAAATGGACCCAAAATTTTAACCCACTAGCATTCTGCAAATCATTTTTTCTCTTCATTCCAGAGAATTAAAGCACTTACACATTTTATTTTTATATCTTTTTTGAGAATTTTTATGTGTAGGGATCCTTTCAATAAATTTATATACCAGCATATAATTTTGTATGTTGCAATCTAAAGGTGATATCAAAAGAAGACTTAATTTTCTTTTAAAAATCATTCATTAAATCAAAATTCCAAGAGAGATGTGAAGCAGTAAAAAATAGGAAAGCAATTTTTTCACACTCTTACATTAAAATACTAAAAGGAAGTTAAATCAAACAATATACTTAGGCACAACAGTAAAATAATTTATAAAAGAGAATAAAGGTTAACGGGTTTATGTAATTACAAAGATATATCAACTATAAAATATATAGAAAAAACCAAGCATTGTTTAGAACTTGACATTTTATTGGCAGTTTTTAAGCATTTTGGAATTTACTTCTTTTGCCCTTCTCAATGTTCGATAAATAATATATTGCTAAATGGGAAAAAATATTTTTTCCCACAAAAATTTGCATACATTTTACTTTGCATAAATTTTCCCAAATTTTTGAAAACAAATAATGACATATTTTTAATGTTGCAATTTTGATTTATATTATATAACAAGGGTAAAAAATTGAACTTTATAATCAACAGAAATGTTAAATTCTGAGTATAAAGGAAGATAAACTTGCTTCCCTGAATAATCCAGAATTAAATGCAATATTTTATTTATTTCACACATTTCCCAGCAATTAAGAAATTCTTGTAAGATTGAGATGTCAAATAAAAACAAATCTGTAAATTTTAGGTGGTAGGCGTTTGTGAGAAACTTTATTCAAAAGATGTCTATTTGGGTGAAAGCTTTAATTGTTTCTGGTGTTCAACATGAATATTGAAAAAAAAGTTAAAACTCATCCTTTGAAATTCTCAATATCATTAAAAGATTTTCAAGATTTTTAATTTGAGAGTGGGAAAGGAGTCAAGATACAGAGAAATAATCCACTTTTAACATGAAAGCAAAGAGTCCCTATTTTTCTAGTTTCTATTGCGCGTATGCTACAGAAAAGGACATGTTTGAGAGACAATGTAGACACATCCAATAAAGGTAAGAGAGTATTATTTAGTACACTGTGGTATATTTACATGATTATATCACAAATAAATATTCAATATTATCATGATGTTGCATTATGAAGAAGTATAGATACAACACTGTTTCACCTCCCCAAATATTAGAGCATTTTTGGACAATAAATAGGTGTATAACTCTGGAAAACAAAGACATAACATACACATCAAATGTGTGAAATAAATAAAGCATTCATTCACTGAATATCAAACACTTGCAAAATATCAAGCACATTATACTGAATCTCCTTGAACACAATAATGTATGCCTTCAGCAAAATTGATCCCCGACATAAATCTTTACAGCAATTTCACAGCAAAAATAGTACATACTCTTTATTTTGGCTTTCAGGCAATCTCTTCTCAATTTCAATCACTCTCACTTTCATACATAGATAAAAATACCAACACAAATACACGTCTCTCCCCAGATGGAAGTACTTCTTGTATGAACAACATACTTGTCTCTCACAACTCAGGGAGTACTTATACCTTTTTGTTTTTTCAGGGACATCCAACATTTAAAACGTTTTTAAATGTGTGATTTCAATATATATTGTATACGGAACAACTTGTATCTGTATTGAAAGATCATTTCATTCCAGATAGTCTTCCAAATTTTTTCAATGTTCCATATTATACATTTGGATTTCCCTTTCTTTCTTTCATTCTTCTAATTTCATGTTGCTTACAATCTGTTTTTTACTTCAATATACCAAAGTTGGAATAGATATTAGAGTGAAAAACTATCAGTTTGATTTACTTTTAAAAATTACGTATTTACATTTTTCAAAAATCCAAATTACTGAGGTTCTGGTCAAAATTTTAATTCAAATAAATTAATATTATAATGAACAATCTGAATGACTGAAGACACTTCAAATCACTCTTTGTTTTACTGGTATAAAGCTTTTTTGGATACAATGTAGCAGTCTTCAGTTATACTGAAAGATAAATAAAATTGTACACAAATACATAATATTCTACATTAAAGAGATCATTTTAGCAGTGATATAGAAGAAATGGTAATGAAAAGGAAGAAGTCAAACAGTAGAAGAAGAGAAAGGAAAAGAGAGTTTATTGGCTGCTAGGTGTCTCTGCAATCTTTTTCTAGTGTTAGGTTACATGTTTTCGTATAACATTTCCTCCATCTGAATAAGAATGCTGTTTGGATGGGTGTGTACATTACTATGCTGTGTGGTCCGTCATTTGTCATTTGCAAACTGATTTGTGGCCACCCACTGCTTGGTGTTAAGTTTAAATAATTAGAGATCGGGGACGGCAATAAAATATTTATATTATCAACTCATTTTAATCTATTTATAAGATAATCTAGTATATTTAATGCTTATACCATGAAAATCACAAAGGTAATCCAGTACTATAATCAGGCATTACAAAGAAAAAATAGACAATTTGAATGCATCTATATAGCTATCTATATTACTAAAATTCAAAGCACTTAGAAATTGAAAGAAAACTTTGCAGCCTCTGGACAAGTGAGAAGTGTTTGAGGTTTCATTACAGTTCCAAAAACTAAGGAAATATCCAAAGCAATGAAACACTTTCAAAACACATGCAATAATGGAAGACCATTACATATTTGCTATTTATTTGCTGCATTATAGAACAGCAACTTTTTGGATATGTGTGGAATGTAAATAACTGTTATATTGTACATCTAATATACTACATCATCGGTTGTGCGAGACCTGCAAATGTTCCAAATGGCATGTGAGCCTAGATAGCAATACATCTTATTGCACATGCCTGCATTTGACTGAGAGGGCCTCAAGGTTTTCAAGAAGTGAACTTTTCAGCAAAAACGTATAACTCATGGAAGTGCATATGGAAGATCCACCACTGAAGGATAGCTTGTGGGAATTTGTACATAGGTTTGTAGAGAAATCCAAGCCATGAGGACTAAAGGATGTCAATACGACAGCTTAGGGAAGCAGCTTTAGAAGACAAGATTCAGTCATTGAAGGTCCTAAAACAGGTAAACTGCGGGAAGACGCGCCCAATGTGTAGGTTCAATCAAGTGCAAACACCAGCAAGGAAAGACACCTTCCAAAAGGAACAGTTGTGCACATTCATTTTCGATAATTTTTTTTATTAGCTGAATTTGAATTTATATGAACATAAAATATTGCATAAATACATTATTCGTGCATATTAAGTTGTAATAAATAAGAAGACAACAGTTATTTACATAACTACTACAGAGAGTGAGTCTTTGGCTTATGAAATGGAATGTTACCAGATGAAGTGATGATAAGAGCACTGCACTGCCAAATAAATACGCGAAAGGCAATTTCAAACAAGATGCATACTTTAATATGATTTTTTTGTATGAATTCATGAAAACGTACAAGTACACTCTCATTTGGACATTCTCAATGTGTGTGTGTGTGGG